CCTGTTTTTTACCTCTCCGGGTCTTATTCTTCGGCGCTAGACTGGAGCCATGTTTAAACATTTGGTTTTATGATTCGCCCGAAGGTTCACTTCCTTCAATTTACGAAATGCAATCCGTTGTCAAGTCACTTTTAAATAAACAACTCATGAGCAGTGCATCTGAGAGGGCCTGAGAGAAAGAGGGTGCTCAAAAGCGCAATTTTTTGCGGGCTCTTCGGTCTCATGAAGTGCGCTACTCTATGAATCTGCTGCGTATGCAATTTTGACGGGTGAAACTGCAAAACCTCTTATTTGTATTGATTCAAAATGCTCCCTTTATGTTTCAGTAGTTCAAAATGATACTGTTTAACATTAAAAAGAGAATGTTTTTGAAAGGACATATACAAATTATACGAACTTTTGCACACAGACTAAAGTTAGCTGCTCCTTATAAAGGTATTTATATTAAAAGTTCTTATGTGCTCAGAGGATGGTTTCACTGCCTTTGGAGGTTGATTTTGCTTTGCTCACCGACAACTTATAATTTGAGGAAAAATTGTTATATTCCCTCCGGAATTTTGAATGTAATTGTGGTAAATCATGCAGAGTCGATTTCAACCAATAAAGTCTTGTCATGTGAAATTGAGCCCCTTCATCTCACCACCATATTCTTTTTTCTATATTTTTTCTATGACCACTATGTTTTGATTTCATACCCACCTCGATTTGTGAGGAATTGAGGATGCAGATTTCTTTTTCATGCTTCATTTCTTGAAGAAGAACCAAAGAACACGTTTTTTGGTATGAATACTGTTTTTCTCAGGAAGAATTTTTTCATAGAAGAATATCCTATGGAGTCTTTGAGAAATAGTGCTTATTAGATTTTATTTATTATTACTTATTTACTTTTAAATGTGAATATTGCATTAAGAAAGCAGAGAGTTTGAAATGTTTCTATCCAGATACGCGTCTTGAAACTTTCACCATCGACTTACTTTTACATCTATGAAAGTTAACAATGGATCGCAACTCCTGGACTCGTGCCATCGACCACAAGAAGTATATCTGGATTACATTTGGACCACATTTTGCAATTGGGAACTATAATTTCTGACTCAGTTTAGAAATAACTTATGAGCCATTAGTTTCCCGATGCACAAAAGTGTTTTTAAGGATGAGCCAGAAATTTTAGTTCCTAATTGCAAAATGTAGTCCATTTTGCAATAAGGAGCCACTATTCCTGGCTTTTCCACAAAAGCACCTTCCTGCAGAGGGAAACCTATGGCACATATGTGGTTTCTAAAATGAGCCAGAAAAAGTGGTTCCTTATTGCAAAATGTGCGGTCCATCTATCCTGTTACAACGCACAATATTCTACCTCCGTGTTAAACGTAAGTCGAGTCAATGAGACCCCAACTGGACTGTATTTTGCAATTTGGAACTATAAATTCTGGCTCGTCTGGAAAAACACTTATGTTCATAGGGAAACTAATGGCACATACGTTGTTTTTAAACCGGGCTCTAATTTATATTTCTAATTTGCAAAACGTAGTCCAACTGAAAGACGATTCGAGTAATTTAGGGTCCATTAAAGTAATTTTGGAGTCACGAATCAATCTGATGCAAATAAATAAATAAAAAATAATCGAATTCGACTCCAAAGTATAGCCAAATTTAACGCAATCACTTCGTCAGTATAGGAACAGAATATTATAATTTTTAACATTGTACTGTCTCTAAACGATCGTGTATATTCGGCAATTCAACCATGGTTTCCTTGTTTCATTTCCTTTCTCCGTTCCTCTTTCCTTTCCGGTTTATTGCACGTGTTTGGCGAACATTTTTGCAGGTCAGGATGAGTGCGAGGGCTGGCAACTCGGAGCGTGTCGGTGCGAACTTTATTTCACCCAGGGAGAAAGCTGGATTGTGGGTCCGTTGCCAAGTGCCGTGCACACGAGAAAAAAACTCTTCTGTGTTCACGCTGTGTAATTCAACCGGTAGAGACCGAAATCCCAGTACGAGACAGCGTTAAAACCGACGATTGCTCGATAATCAGCCACTATTATATCCCTCTTCACAACGAGAAAAAATTTACGTTGGGGGGAATTCTGATAACTGAAGCGTGGGATCCCTGGAGACATTCCTGAAACCTGGCTGTTAAAAAAAAAACAGGATGCCAGGAGGAAAAACCGTCAGTTGTAAGGGTTGAGTTTTGGTTTGTGTGGAACACTGAGGATTTTCTGAGATTGTCGCTCATCTCAGAAAGAACGTTTCTGTCATTAAGTTCCCTGTTTACATAGGTGCGTTCACGGTTGAAATAGAATAAATAATTCCTGATTGCAATATTTAGCTTAATATTTCGAAGTGCACTCTCTCCCTGTGGATCGTATATTCGATTCATCAAACAGACTTCTATTGCTACGATTGTATCGATATCGATTCGTTCCACATGTACACAAGCCTCCAAAATCAATCGAGCAACCTTTGGGAACGGGGTTTTGCGATTGATTGTTGATCCATATGTATACTTCATTGCAATGAAAAGCGAAATTGCTTGGAATTTTCTCTTTTTCAAATTTTCTAAATGTAATCCTAAAATTTATGTTTGCGGTTATGTTCTAATGTTTTGAACTTATCGATACATTGAACCAGTATTGAATGCTGCCCCGTTCACGTGCTTTGAGGTGTTAGCGTCTCTCCTTTATCATACTCATTCACAATGGACCACTAGACAAACTTCGGATTTCAGCATTCTCATACGTATGTCCCCTGACCATATCTTCATGAAGTCTACGATTCGAGCAACGCAAATTACCGAATCAACTCTCAGCTAAAATATTATGGTTTTTAGTTCCCATCGGTTTCAGGAATTTTGAATTCTCCGCTCGTAAAAAAAGAGGTCTATTTGAATCAAATCGCGCTCTGCCATGGTTTCGGTAGGCCTCTTAATCGAGCAATGTTCCTCCCTGCTTTGTGTTTTTTTTAAGTGGTAATAGTGTGCAACAGCTGAGCCGAAGCACCAAAACTGAGGTTGCCACATTTTTATACTGCAGAGACTGTTACAGTAACGTTTATATCGCGATTTGACTCATGTGAACTTTTGTAATTTTATGAGTGGGAGGTTAGAATCTACGCATCAAAAAATGTTAAATATCTTTTCGAAGGGTTAATTTCAGTAATTTTTGTCGCGCGAGTTGGGTTCTACGTGAGATTTTGAAGTGATCATATGTATCAGGATACTTAAACTCGCACCTTGTTTATCACGGAAAAAAAGTTGCTGAAGTAACATCCTGGATGTTAAAAATCTGAGAAATACCTTTTAAATTTTTTAACTCCTTTTGCTTTGAACACTGCGGCTGTTCAAGTAACATTCTAGCTACGTTGCATTAACAACCGTAGCGTTCATATCAACATTTAAGAGTTGTCACGCAAATTTTTAACAACTGGAATGTTACTTTAGCAAACTTTTTTTCCCACGTAGTCTAGTGGCCCATCGCTTAGATTCATTTTCTTATCATAAATGGTAGGGAAAAAATGGGTAAGAAATAGATAAAATAAGCAAAGATAAGGATGCGCGCCGTGTAAAAATTAGATTCCTTAGCACGTAACCACTCTTTTTGAAATTCATGGAAATCTAGTCCCAGAAGACGCTTTCTCTTGCGCGACGTAATGCAATTTGACAACGTGGTGCAAATTGGACCATTATTTTTGCACCCTGCATGCTTCCCCGCTATGTAAAACCTCTCACCTCCACCCCTTTTCACCGCCAGGAAGGGCGCGGGAAGAGGAGAGAGGGTAATGTTTCATCCGTAGGGGTTGTAAAAAAGATGAAAGAGGAATTTTCCACCCGCACCGACTCGAAACAATTAACTGCACGAGAGAGACGGTCGAAGATGCGACTGCGATGAGTCAATCGTGAGAGCAAAACAATTTTCGTGTATTTATTTGAACCAATCGTTCGTATGTTGATGTAGTAATCAACTGTTCAACTTGGTCCCGAAAAATCCACGCGATAAATTTCTAACTTATCTGCATTGAGGGGCTTGAAGAACAGGCGCACAAGTGCAGGTTTTGCTACTTCGAGAAATACGTTTCTGAAGTTTCGAAATTTCATGGATCCTAATGGCGGGAAGAAAGTGTAAACTGACTTTTTTAAAAATTGGTATTTGGGAGCGAATTTCTCACAGAATATGCATTAAGACATGTTTTACCTGAAATCATTAATATCTCAATTATTTTCAAAAACTGCACTTATACGCCTTGTAACCTCACGCAGTCCTGGACCTCCTCTCTCGTTACCGTCTCGTGTCCATCCCTTTGACCGTACCATTTTTCTCATCCCTCCAATGCGTGACAAAATCAATGAACGGCCCCTTATTTCGCTTTAGTTTGAGAAAAAAGTTCATGGAGATAAACCGTAAGTATAGTATTGCACACCAGCCGTAAGTACTTCGGTTCATGTAACGGCATTCTGGGTACCGGGGATCCTATCTTCAGTTCATGAAACCGAAATTTAAAACCAAACCGAAGTATGGAGGAAGCTCGCTTGTACGAATTACCTAGAACGGATAGTGCGGTTTCACCACGAACCAAATAGTGCAGCTAATATTCAACACCATACTTACGGTTGGTATCGCCGCACTTTTTCTCCCTCAGTGTAGTTTTTTCTCCCTTTTTTATAATGCCTGCATATTTTTTTCGTGTTTGCCTGTTTACACCCGCGAATACACTGTTTACCGATATGAAACCGAGATTTTTTTCTCCGCACCAACTGGACCGATAACAACAATCGGAGGCGCCGTCAATGCCAACAGGCTGCCTGTCCGGCCATTCAACGCGATGAATCGATTAGTCCCCCGTTAAAAACTATAGAAAAGGATCGATTCGTACAGAATACCTCGAGAATCGATTTTATATCATAGTTTCAATTGGGAAAAAATCGATTGGCAACGATCCACGTTGGATAACCGGCGGTCATCGTGAGGCTGCGAGCTGTGTCGTCGCAGGATCCGGCGACAGAAAACAACTGCGGCACCCGTCGTCAGGTATTTAGCTGTTAATGGTCCGCCCGCTCTCACAGACCACTGGACAGTCAGTCTACCAACAGTGCTTCTTTCACCTCAAGTTCACTCCCCTTTTTCCACCGAGTTTCCGACACATGCCTGCGTGGCGACATCGAAACCTGATGGTGAATCGTTCTTTAAAAAACGCCTTCAATTCGGGAATGCATCCTTGAAAACTATCACATACTTATTGATTTGTCTTCTTGTAGGGCGTGCGTGAGTCTCTCCAGAATCTACTGGGAGTAATTCCGCAATCGCTTTCGCGAGATCTTCATCGAAAATCCCTGGTCTTCCTTCCTTGTAAGGCGTGCGTGACATTCCGTCCGAATCTGCCCTCCGTTCGGGGCTAGTTCCAAGAACAATTTTATAATAAATTCCTGATTTTTGTTTCTTGTACAGCGCGCGGTAGTCCTCGAAGTGCGTGTATGTGGCAATGCCTGACAAATGGAGCGTTAAACCGTCATTGATCGCTCGAAGCACCTTCAACCCGATTCGGGACATCGTCGACAACCTGAAAATCGAACCGAATCCCAGCAAGGAGTTCATTCCGCTTTCGCTCGGTAAGTAACCCTGGCTCTTCTCGACTTATTGCCTGCGGTAATGTTCCGAGAAAATTCATCATATTGATAGCCAAAAAGGGGAACCACGCATCTCCATTCTGCCGTGCTAAGGAAAAACGCCGTATGAACCCTCAGGTATTGCCAAATTTTCTTGGATAAGACCGAATTTCTTGGTCAACTTATGAATACTTTCCTCCCAATTTTTCGGATAGTTTCGTTCGCAATTTTGCCTAAAGATGATGAAAATTTAAAGGAAAAATATACTCATAACTTTCCTAAAAAATAAACATTTTATCGAAGGAAATTTGGCAACTCTCGAATGTTCATACGACACTCTTCCTTAACACGGCAGCATTGCGGTGTTTCAAAATGCTCGATCCTATTCTTTTTTTTACAGAGAGGCTTGGTAACTTTTTAGCTTGAAATTCAGACAGAATATTCTGCTGACGGTAAGAAAAATCAAGGAAGTTTTCAAGAAATTACGGTCATCAGAAGAATTTAAATATGACAGGGAGTCTGCAACGTTGCCAACGGACATACGTGGTTTCGCACTTTGGCCATCGATATATCGGTGGCTTTGGGGGTTATATGCACACGTGGAAAGAGCGTTTCAAAGCTCATGCATGTAGAGATAGGTCAAACAGCATCTCTTGTATCTTAGGTAGGTCGCAGTCCTGCCCATATTCGAGTCGAATCCGTAGTCGATCAACAGCTTCAAACAGCTGAGGGAACCTCATACCGAAGCACAGTGGATCGAGTCAATAGTAGAGGTCATACTAGATCAAAATTTGGAAACTTTAAAAGCTTATAACTCCGTTTATACAAAATCTTGAGGTTCTTAAAGTGGTTCCATTGGTTTCCTCGTAAAATTTTCTTCTAGAAGCATTCCTTGAAATTTAAAATGTGACGAAATAAACATCAAAATTTTCAGTTTTAGTCAAAAATTCCATGTCCAGCACCTCTAATTGACTCGATCCACTGCGCGACGGTGAAACTGGAAAAATACGTCAAAATAAGCCCCAAAAATACGCCCCAAAATGACGAACCTAGTCAAAGTTGAAGCGTTTTGAGGTTTGGAATCAAAAACCACGTGCTTTCGGGAAATAGTTATCTGAATAATTGCTGATCTGCCATGCCCAAGGAACAAAGTTTTTTTGGATCACAGATAACTTTATGTCCTCTACTGACACTAATATATATGAAATCTTTCGATACTGCGACTCAAGGCATAAGTCTTCGAATAGACAAGTATTGCTACACGAAGGATGTTCTCTGGCCTACTTTGAAAATTGAAGGCGAAATAGAAATGCGTGTATCCTCTATAACCCCTTCAAGTCAATCCTGCTTCCTGTACATTTTCGGTGAGAAAACGCCATCGGGAGCAAAACCCCTGCTGGCAAATGACGAAAAAGGTTATCAATTTTTTTAACGTTTTACACTCGATAAATTTTAATAGTGAACGTTGTAATATTCGAATTGCGCGTTAATCTCTTAACTTCTTGCCTATAAATTATGTTTTACGCAAAATTCTAAATCGATTTCGTGTTAAGAAACATGCAAACTTGGCTGACGGCCCGTCCACTCCAACGCGTGATTACGAAATCATGCATCCCGCGTTCTTTCTTTTTATTGAACGGTGTACACCTCTGATTTGACTCGTTAAGTGCCTCAACAGTTTCATTGAGTGTAAAATTATTGGATGTAAGAGGTAGAAAAGCTCTCGAAAAAGGTCATTAATATAACGATTTTTGACAGAGAACCTTGTAAGTTTTTTGGAGGGTTTGTTTTTTCCCTTTGGCAGGGGGGAGGTCCCGTTTTTTGAGCTCGTTATACCTAGTCCTTCATTTTCTAATAAAGTGATCTAGCCTAGTAATGATCACACGCTTATAAACGTCATCACAGGTGCACAGGTCATTAAATACCCTGTAAGATGCCCTGACGAACAGGAGACTTTCCATCCGCACACTGTTCTACTTTTCATTTCTGCAAATGTTTGTGAAATTTTCATTTCCTTACAATTTCGAAAAAGCGCATTTTGTAAGCAACGGCTTTGGAACGACGCCTGCAAAAAAGTGTGTTCCTTAAAAATATGTTGGATGCTCGAAACCCCCTATTTATACAGAAATGGTTTTATGTGTCGATAAGAAGACGCATGTCGATCAAAAGGCATGTATCGATAAGAACACATGTGCCGATCACGGTACATGCGTCGTTGAAAAGGACATGATAAAAACTGTCAGATATCAAGTGGCTATAAGATTTCCTGGGGATCATGTCCAATGAGGATAATCTATGAGGTATCTAGTAACATTCTTTTTTATTCATAGAAATCCATTTTGAAAGAAAAATGTCCATAAACTGGAGACGTCAGAGAGAGAAGTTTTGTAAAAAAAACGAATAGAGACCTGGCCGTCTTTTTTTTTTCTTAAAAAAAAATAAATAAAAAAAAAAAAAAAAAAAAAAAAAATCTGAATCACATACATGAACACTAGATTGAAAACGAGCAGTATGGACTTGCTACTAACGAATTCGTACCTGTACCTAACATTTTCAGGGAGCCCGGATTTTTAAATTCTCACAACCGTGCAGAAAGCTCTCAACGCTGAAACGGCGGAGCGAAGGGTTGGGTTAACCCAGGGTGCGAGAAGGGGTGCAGAGCACGCAAACCGATGACATCATAACTGAACATTCGTAACAAGAATTTAAACACGCCGAGTTTGCCGCAGTCAGCAAGGAGAGAGGGATGATACGGGGGCGGCCGAGGGGGGGGGAGGGGGCTCCATCCCTTGCTACTAATGGTTTTTATGATTTCGAAACAAATGTTTTTGTGCTCTCTGGAATGTCACGCCGATTCGCGGGAAGATTAATTGAAATCCGTTGGGTTCCGGCGCTTGCTCCAGCTCCGTGGAGGCTCCGTAGACAAAAGTAAAACAACGTATAGGAACGCGGAGGTCGCCTAATTTCTCTCGATAAAATTCGGATTTTTAGGAAATCTTATGACTCCTTGCCTCTGATATTTTTAGACAATTTTATCCTCGATTCCATCTATTAAATTCCAAAATCCCAAGGATAAATATGCATAATTTTTCCTCAAAATAAATGTTTTGTCTGATGAAAGTTGGTGTTTTTCAAATTCGTCTGCGATGTTCTATCTTAGCAAGGTAGATATATTTTCCAGTCTGGTTTTAATTCCGGCAAGAGCACTCCTTAAAATTTCAACTCTGAACCTCAGACCATACCAGTATCGACAGTGTCATTACAAAACTCGCTTCGTTTTAAAATTGATTGTTAAAGTTGATTTTGAGACAACATTTTTTTAGTGGTCCTCGAATTTCGGTCAATGTCGGATCCTCACAAATTCTCCTCTTCGATCCCTGCACTTTAAGAACTTACCAGATTTTAAGAAGTCTAGGGGGCTCCAAGAGCCAGTTCAAGTGTTGACTGATGAACCAATTTTGTTTGTTACATGGAATTTCATGTTATCCACTTTTCTATCAGGCGAGGCGTAGCTTTTATAGGGCACCCACTCGGTATATGTTTGAGTACCTAATGCTGAAAATTGGACTTTTCACTCTCATCCTCCTCCCCTGTAATATACATCCGTAAAGCTTAGGTCCATGTATCCCCCCCTAAAAATATCTAACATTCTCCCATGACCTCTCAACCCTCCAAGCAAGGTAAAGAAATCACCGACTACCCTCAGTTTTTCACTTCCTTTTTTATTTGTATAAAACAAAACTGAAAGAAGAATATAAAGGCAAAAAGGTAGTCCGAAAAAATGTTTCAATTATTAAATTCAAAGTGAAAATTCAGTAAGCGAGATTACAAAAAACCGGTAATTACATCAACCGGGATTACAAAATTCCTAACAGTTAACCTTGCATGTACCTTAGAGTCAGCACATATTCGTACACATTCATCCATGTGAAACACATCTTATTCACGTTTAAAACGAGTGAAAAGAGTTAATGCAGAAAATTCAATGAACACGAGGTTGTGCGGACAGAGTTCCCTCCGTTGGCGCCTCTAAGGGCTCCAGTGCAACCATGATTTAGTCAGAAAGGAGACAGAAGGGGGTCCCATGGGGGGTCTCGACCCAGGATTTTCTGGATCCGGCACACCTTCCGGTAAATTTTTAGTGCACGTCTGTGCTGGAGACTCTCTCTTACGTGACCCATCAGATCTGATAGTTGAAATCAACAGACATAGAGAAAATGGACAATGCGGACAGAGGAGACAAGTAACAAACTAACTAACGGCACCCAATGAGAAACCCCATAATAATCGGTCCATCTTTTTCTCCCTAACTCTAAAACAACAACCCTTTGAAACAGAGGCGGATCCAGCAAATTGGCAACATTGTTTTTCTCCATTTAAACCTATGTTAAATAATCGATTCTTGTCATAGAGTACATAGAGTCGTAATGTAAGTGGGTATGTGCTGGCGCCACTTTTAAACATTTTGCAGGTCCCGAATTCCGAGACTCCTGTGTGACGTCGGGTCACTTTTTCGATACATAAACGATTGTTTGCGATACACGGGTACCCGGCCATCCGATGTAAACAAAGAAGATAGGAATCACCACGCATTCCACACCGCCATTTTGGATCGAACATGTATCGAAAAAGTGACCCGAATTCGGCGCACACCGGGCTCGGAACTCGTCGAGCAGAACATGGCGCCAGCTCTCCCATTTACATTGCGACTCTATGTACTCTACGATTCTTGTAGGAGCACTTGGCCCCTCCAACCATCGATACATTTCCATAGATTTAAATCCAGAAAAACAATGTTTCCAATTTGCTTGACACGCCAATGCTTTGCAACCAAAAGAGTCGCTCCATTTTCTTCTTATGTTTTCTTTGTCTATCACTTTGTCAGTCGCACTTTGTCTGTCACTTTGTCTATCACTTTGTCTGTCGCACTTTGCCTGTCACTTTGTCTGTCACTTTGTCTATCACTATGTCTATCTCTTCGTCGATAGCTTTGTCTATCGCTT